GCAGCAATTTCTAGGTTGCGTTCCATGGAACGAAAATTCAAAGATAATCCGGAATTTGAAAAACAGTATAAAGATTTCATACGTGAATATGAACAGTTAGGACATATGACTGTGATTAATGATGATTTATCTAACAGATCGGATACAGAAAAGTTTTATCTTCCTCATCATGCGGTAATTAAACCTTCTAGCACAACGACAAAATTAAGAGTAGTTTTTGATGCATCCTGCAAATCTGAAAATGGTATATCATTGAATTCTCTTTTAGGGGTAGGTCCGAAATTACAAAGAGATATTTTTGAGATTTTGATTAATTTTCGATTTCCTAAAATTGTTTTCACAGCCGATGTGGAGAAGATGTATCGTCAGGTGATGGTAGCCCCTGAAGATCAGAATTATCAATTGAATACTTTGGCGATACAATTCCAGTGATAAAATGCGCACGTACAAGTTGAAAACAGTTACTTATGGTCTTTCCTCTGCTTCATTTTTAGCAACTCGATGTCTGAAGCAGATAGCTTTAGAGTCTAAAGAGGAATCAGATGTATCTCGTATATTGCAAGAGGATATGTATATGGACGACTTATTGTCGGGTGCAAATACAGTTGATGATGCAGTATTGTCTGCAAGAAAATATCTTCAATTTTACATGCACGTGGTTTTGATTTGAGGAAGTGGAATTCAAATTCTGTAGAATTCTTAACTGAATTTAAGGAACATTGTTCATTGAATGATTTTTTGAGATATCTCCTAATTCGAGTTCGAAAGTCTTAGGACTTTTTTGGAATTCAACTACTGATACCTTCAGTTTTAAAGCTACACTGCACATCAACGCACCTATAACAAAAAAGACGCATATTAGCAGAATCTGCTCGCATTTTCGATCCTTTAGGTCTTTATCTCCTTGCACTATATTGATTAAAATATTCTATCAAAAACTATGGTTAGTTAAAGGCGACTGGGATTCAGTTGTTCCCCAGCATATCTCAGATGATTGGTTTAAATTTCAAGAGACATTCAGTCAAATCAATAATTGTGAAATTCCGAGATGTGTCATACTTACAACGGACAGTGTTATCCAACTACATGGATTTTCTGATGCATCTTCGCAGGCTTATGCAGCAGCCATTTACTGTCGCCAAAGGTGCAATGGTACGGTTAAGGTTAATCTTTTGGTATCAAAGACTAAAGTCGCGCCTATAAAGCAAGTATCCATTCCTCGATTAGAACTCTGTGCTGCGTATTTGTTGACCAGATTAATGCGATCTCTATTGAACATTTTAAAGAAGTTTGATTTTGAAATCTTTTGCGTGGACGGATTCCAAGGTAGTTCTGTCTTGGCTATCAGCTCATCCACGTAAGTGGAAAACTTTTGTGGCAAACAGAACATCTCAAATCATAGAAGTGATACCTATTAAACATTGGAATCATGTTCCCTCTAAACAGAATCCTGCAGACATTGCTTCTCGTGGTATTGAACCTCAACTCCTACCAAATTGTACTTTGTGGTGGAATGGTCCACCATGGTTGCGTCAGGAAGAGGAAAAATGGCCTGAATATGAATTAAAATCTGAAGATGATGCTGAAGTAAAGGCCGAACAAAGATCTGATCCTATTTTTATTTCTCATATACGTGAATCGAATGATTTATTAGCTAATTTGTTCGAGCATTATTCTTCGCGTTGTAAAATTGTTCGTATTCTGGCTTACTGCCAAAGATTTATTACTAATTGCAAGAAGCATCATGTTACTCAGAACATTTCACGTAGTGGCATTAACTCCAGCTGCCTTATGCCGCTAACATTTCTAGAGATTCGAGTAGCAGAAAATTTCATTATTCGTTGGATTCAGAATCATCATTTCAAAGATGATTTACAATGTATTAAAGAAGAGAAACCTTTACCCAAGAAGAGCCAACTACGTTCTTTGTATCCATTCGTAGATAAAGATGGTCTCTTACGGGTGGGAGGACGTCTTCGAAATTCATCTTTAGCATTTAACATCAAACATCCTGTCATACTTCCTTCTCGACATAAATTTAGCGAATTACTAGTGAAAGAACTTCATATTACTTACCTTCATGCTGGTCCTTCTTTATTATCACACCTCATCAGACAATCTTACTGGATAATTGGAGGAAAGAAACTGATACGCAGTTGTGTCAACCATTGCTTAATATGTCATCGATTTAAAGCTGCTTCAAATCCGCAATTGATGGGTGACTTACCTGAACATCGTGTGACTTTGGAACGACCTTTTTACGCATCGCATCTGGTGTGGATTACGCTGGTCCTATTACCATGAAATTTAATAAGGGTCGTGGCTCTAAAACAACGAAAGGCTATATAGCTCTGTTTGTTTGTTTGCTTGTCGACTAAAGCTGTGCATATAGAAGCAGTCAGTGACCTGACGGCAGACTCGTTTATCGCTGCACTTAGACGTTTCATTTCACGTCGCGGTGCACCACGGCACATTTACAGTGACAACGGTACCAATTTGTGTGGGAGCATGCCGAAAACTACAAGAACTAAATCAGATTTGGTCTTCCTTGTATGCAACGGAATCGGTTTCCCGAGAACTAACTAACTAAGTCATCTATTGAATGGCATTTTATACCGCCTGCTTCGCCCCACTTCGGAGGAATATGGGAAGCCGGCATTCGCTCAGCGAAATTTCATCTGAGAAGAGTATTGAAAGAGACTCTTTTAACCTACGAAGAGTTGTCAACACTACTTACCCAGATCGAGGCTATTTTGAATTCACGTCCACTTACTTACGTGAACGATACTGATATTGACTGTATTAATGTTTTAACCCCTTCTCATTTCATTACAGGTGATACTTTAACTTCCTTTCCAGAGAGCCATCAGACTTTACGCACAAGGAGTTCTAGGTGGGAACTTGTACAGAATCTACGTCTGGGATTCTGGAAGCGATGGAAAAAGGAATACTTGACTTCGCTTCAGCAGAGATCCAAGTGGCAGTACAACAGACCCAATCTAAAAATCGACACGGTGGTTCTTATCATCGAAGATGGATCTCCACCGCTAGCTTGGCCTATTGGACGGATCATCGATGTCCATCCGGGCAAGGACGGCTTAGCTCGCGTAGCCACTGTCAAAACTAAAACTGGTGTTTTCAAAAGAGGAATTAATAAACTTTCACCTTTGCCTGTGTATCAGGACTAAACCTGATAGGGTGGGAGTATGTTCACTGCCACGCCTATCGAATTAATTTCTACCTTTTCGTTGCCCTGCGTTGGCAACACGCTTTTGAGATTTGTCGTTCGTAGGATTCGGTCGCTAAAAGCGTAAAAGCGTAGCTGGCCTGTAACGGTTGTAATTCTTATTTTATGCTTATCTGTACTTCTGAATTATTACTAAATGTTTACGTGTGAATGTTATATTATTAAATGTATTCAGTTTGGTTGAAATAGACCGAGAGTGGCTGAATTTATTAAGTATAATCAAAGTCGAAACTGCGTCATCCATGTCGGCGCCATTCTAATACGATGTACGTAAACAATCATTGTGTAATTTTTTTTGAGTAAATATATAGTTTTCTACTAAAAATATTCTAAGGTTGATAATGGTGAAATATTTATCTGTTTTAGAGAACTAACGCACAAACCAAGTTTCCTCTCAAACTCCTTTAATTTCTCATGGGATATTTATAATAGTCAAAGAATTACCTTGTAGACAGAAATGTTTATTTTACTTTGAGACTGCACCTGAAAGATATGCTAGTGTATTTAGCCACATGTCATTCGCAAGCAATGGTATAAAATCTTATCACCTTCATTTACGAATGACAGGGCAGTTTTGCAAATCTAGGAGGATCACTTGCGGTATCCAGACTAGAATTTGAGAAACAGTGTTCTACGGTAATTTTTCAAATATCCGCTGTAAAATGTTCAAGCTTATTATCTACATCAACTTGTGTACATGTAATCAAAAGCATGCTTAATTCGTATTGCAAATAGTGTATTTCTAATGTATGGGATGTCGCAAAAGTTTGATTTGAAAAAGACTATAACGAACAAAAGTTTGAAAGATTTCAACGTTTTCTGAAGTATATCTTAAGCTGTATATATAAAACATGCAAATTTTATATATAGATTTTCTTATGTTTGTTTACATTATAGAAAAAAATAATAAAAACTTGAATATATTAAATTTATTTTAAAAGATTCTGCACTTTTGTAGTGTGAATATATTAAATTTATTTTAAAAGATTCTGCACTTTTGTAGTGTGACCTTAACTGTAAAATAGATTTTGTATCTCAGGAAACAGGTAAAAGTTCCTAGTCTAAATAATATGAAAGGTATTGTTTTAAATTCAAAAGAAAAGATCGGTGCTTAGTTAAACGAAGCTTTCAAATCCTTATTAAAATTTTCTGTGTAACAATTATCTTCTCTAGCTGAACATAAAAATCACTTCCTTCTGTCTAAAAGATATAATATTTTAGTATCTGAACATGAAACATACTTTTAGACTAGCTTGCTCGAAGCGCCATTTTACCGCATCAGAGGATCGAGGATTTTGTCTCTTATTAGAAGAATATCCCTTATGGTACCATCTATTGGCAAACATTGTCAACCATAATTCGAACAGATTCTTGCAACAACAATTCACTTTCCGTACAAAATACAGTTTGCGCCACTAAACGAATACGTTCACACGGCAGTAACACATGCTTTAAGCTATTTAGCCTTTTGCCCTAAAATTAACAAGCATTTATCTTAAGTCTTAAAATTCCAAAAATATTAGCCCAAACTACTATCTTGAGACTCTGAGAAACAACCCATGTGAAAATAATTTTATTTATGCTTTTATATTATAACATAAAGTAGATTTTTTGTTTTACGAAACATACAGAAAGCCCTTGCTTTGAAAAATGTAACATATTATTTTAAATTTAAAGCAAAACATCAGTGTTCGTTTATCGCTATTAAAGTAACAAAAACTGGAATATTATGAAATGCTTTATAGTTTATTACCGCTAAACGTGCTTTTGATATTCTTCTGTTTATGTCTTTCCATTTCCTTTAAATAACCATCAAGAAACATCGCTTCGCAGCTGTCGTTCGCCAACACTTTCTTACGAGCCTCCATTTCGCTCCTGCAATACACAAAAATAGTGTCATAAAATTCATAATTAAAAGGCATTTCAAAAATTGAAAGATAAACGGTTTTCCTTCGGACAAACTTGATTCAACAGGCAGATATACAAAGTAAGAAAGGCACAAGTAAACATTTCTTTCCCTTAAACATAGACGCAATGGTTATTTTTACAGAATAAGAATATAGGCAAAAGAATAAGACATTAGAAAAGAATATGGCATTTTTAAACATCAGGATTTTCAACCCTACTCGAAATAACTAGAGTAATATGAGTAATGGTTTTTTAACAAAGGGTGTATTGGAAATCAGCGGCATTAGAAAGCCAGAAAGTAAATAATTTAATTCAACTTACTTCAAGAAATTGTAAAAGCGAACCATTATTTTTCTTTCTTTGCCATGTAGTGTGAAGCCAAGCTTAGCAATTAAATATAATAGTGTTGGGAAGAAAGTGACAATTCCAGACTGTCGATATATTCGTGAAACGGATTCCACAGCGCTATCCACTAGAATTCTCAATGGATCACCAACTGGAAGACGTTTTCCAAAGACCAAAGTTGTTATAGTGTTGGAGACACTTGCAGAAAGGAATCTATAGATATTTACAGGTTTTCCTTCTTGAGTTTTGAGCCAGTCTCTGAGTTCCTCCACGTCTATCTAAAAGCAGAAAATGTTTTCGTATTATTTTCTGCAACAATGGTAGAAGAAATTTCAATTTTATTTCTGGGTGCTCAAATCAGTATAAAACCTGAAATAAAAGGGAAACGATTTAGAGAATACACTAACACTTAGACTATTTTTAAATCTTCCTTAGAAAAATTTATACCTCTATGTTTCCACAATGGCAAGGATTGTTTGAATAAAGATCTTGTGAATTAGTGCCATAACTTGTGAAATAATTTAAAATTGCATTAAATACTTCAAATTTAACATCGATTTAGCATTTTATCGAAATTTAACATTGATGCGGAGAGAAAACTCAAATTTTGAAATAGCAGCTATGTAACAATAGTGGAATTTCTGCAAGTCATAAGAAGGAAATGATTATCATATAAAATTACCTGAAATCAATTTAAAAACCAATTCTTTATTAAAGACATAAAAAATTAATTTTGCCATCCTCAAGTCTATGATTTTGTTTTTACATCAGAACTGTAAAATTGCGGCATTAACAGAAAGTAAACTAACAGATTACTTTAACTTGATTTAGATTTTTCTGAAATTTTTCAATTAATTGGAAAATCCTTGGAGAGGATTTTTCGTTACGTTAATCCATTAGGATTCCTTAAGTTTTGTTAGTTAATTCCTTGGATTTCTCTAATATTTTAGATAAAGTTACTTTCCTGTCCTTTCTGAATTTCAGCTTGCAAATTTCGGCCACAGCGTATTTTCAGAATCGCGGTCAAATGCAAATGAGGATAAAGGATATTTAACGGTGAAATTCTAGTAACTTCATTAGACAGCCAGAGATTTTATGTAGCGCGCATTAACCTTTTGGCTATACTCTCTTCTAAAGTTATTTTTACGAACGGCCGTACTTAAAGCTCTGGATAGCTTCGCCGTTAGTTAGCGTTAAGGGGCCAACTCTTGTAGAAGTTTGATAGCTTGGGCTATATCTCCTTAGTTAAGTTTAGTTACGCTTTATTCCTTAGTTTCCTGAGTTCCAGCCCGAGTAGAGGCTGTATTGTAAATTCCAAGAAGGAGTCGACTCTTAAACTTTATTTAGAATAATAAATGGTATTTAACCCTTCTTGAGTATCTGTTCTCTGTCTACTGAACTAAAGCGATTATTCGCTTACCAGTTCTCAAGGTTCCTTAACTTCAGCTGTAACATAAAAGATAGGAATCTTACAACATAACAATATTATTACGGATTTGGTATATAAAATAGCTAATGTTAGTTGAGTTATAAATTAAATTGTTTTATTCCCCGTGCAGGGTAGCGCGTGATGAATATTAAAGGAAAGCTAAGCCGGAAAATTAAAAATACAACAGCACGTGCATTTAACATTTAATAAATAAATATCTTTTTTGATTTCGAGAAAGTTCCAGAAAATTCTCGCGCGCGATTTAAAATCTTATAAAAGGAGAAAAACCTCTTAGTTCGTTGTTATTTTAGTTAGTTTGTTGTTGTTTTAAGAGTTTGTTTAGAAAACTGCTCTTGTTGACTAGCGAATTCGCGGATTAGCTTTCTCTAGCTGTTTTGAATTAAGTTCTCTTGAACGTTTGAGTAGTTAAAAGATAACTACTGTGAGATATTGTAATACTGAACGTATATCTGAGGAAAAGTAAGCATTTTTGTTGTGATAATAATAAATTTTGTTCATTTTCATCGGACTTGTACATTCAATTCATGCATTCAATGCATTCAATTCGAACGAACCCGTACACACGCAACAATATGATCGTCGGCTAAATGATGGGAAAATTGTGTCGAAGTACAAAAAAGTTACTATAAAAACATTTTTTTAATCACTTCTTTCAAAATATAGTGAAACGTTTGGTTCTTTCTTCGTACTTAGGCTGAAAAATCCCTTTTCCGCGCTAAAGAATATCTAACTTATAAAGGTACCGAACTATCAGCTAACTGTAGACAATTTTTCTGTAAAATAAAGCTTTAGACCTTTCTAATTTGACTATGAATTTTATCGTGTGCCTTTTCATACTTTCCTTTTTTATTTGGAATGACGCGTGTCCTGTCTGTATAAATACTGACGAATTAGGCCTCAATCCTTTGAAAAGTTCTCACTTTATTGGAAAATACTGTAAGAAAACTAAATTACCAATCCCTGATTTTCGGTTGAGTTACCGAAGATGATAAGCAGTTTCGGATACCTTGCCGTTTAGCGCAGAAAATTACTTTTCAGTTAGAATTTCAGTTTACGCCATTCAGAAGCACTTTGAGATTGAAATGTTGCAGCTGTTGAATTAGTTGCAGCTGAGTTACGGACGCTGGTAATTAGCTTCCGATATCTTAGTGTTCAATAAAGTAAATTCTCTTTGAGATTGAACTGGATTGGGATTCCGACAGGCGCATCATTTACAGTATAAATATTAGTAATATAAGTATTAAATATTAAGTACAGTATAAGTGTTAATAGAGCTGCAATAAAGATTTGGTATTGTTTTTTATGGATTTATTTATTTTTTTAATTATAACAGAGCTTTGTTAAGGCTTAACAAGTGAGTGATGGATGTCTTTTCAAACATCCATCACTTTGATAAGGGTAATGCTTCATGGACCATGAGAAGCAACATAGTATTTAATCTAGCTTTTAAAAAATTCAGATGAATACGGTACTTTATGCAACATTTCCATAGATTTTAAAACAATTGTTTTAAATATAATCGTGTAATAACTAAACTATTTCTAGAGAGTGCTTGATTTAACTAAATTTTATTTTTAAGTATGGCAAAATGTATTTACCATTAATGAATGTTCCCACTCGCTCTTTGCTAGTCCAACTTCCCTCAAAGCCTTCATACTGAATCGTCTTTGCTCTACCCATTCTTCTCCGTTTGCGCCTACAAAACCTGCAGAATTGGGAAAAAATTGTGAAGAACTATAGATACTCTTCTGTAATGTAAATGAATCTTTTTAACATGTTTTTGAAGCTAACTAAGTTTTTCTCTTCAGATGAGTGATCGCACTGACCATCATGATGTCATGACAATATATATATATATCTCATAATTTTATAAACCACTTTCAACACAACAGTCCAATTATATGAGATCATCTTACAGGAAATACCTTTTAGCATCTAGAAGGAATAGTTAATATACACAAAGGAAGAACGTATCCTATCAAAATAATATATCCATCATGTGCACAGTAATTTATAATAGCTAAAAATAGCAATTTGTTTAGCTGCCAAGCTATGTGAAGTAGTAAAACTGAGTGTTTGTTTGTGGCGAGCAACACGCGCACCTGACCATATGTGTTCCTATGGTTAATAGGGCTTTTCCAGTTACAGGTACAAGCACAGTACATTAGTAAACACAGTGTCCACAGTACGAACTTACACAGTATGTAAATTCCTACCCGGCATTTATTTTCGCAGTCGTTGGTCTTAGACATCTAGTGACAAAAATATGTGAAATGTTTTAAATATTCAACTTTTAGGTTTTTCAATTTAAAAATATTGCAAATTTTCTTTATTATTCCTTTAATTATTTATTTTGTTTGCCGAGTTTTTACAGTTACATTATAAAACATGAAAAATAAAGCTGGAAAAGTTTATACACCAGAAAAATTGCTGGAAATATTTCATTTTAAAGTTCTCCAACATACTCAGGAGTTGCAAACAAAGTGAAAGCAAAGTTTCCATTTGTATATAACTAAAAATAACATAGGAGTCTAGAAATGGTTTCGAACGTTTATAGATTACGTGACGAGCATTTATAGGCTGAATGTACTGGAAAAATCAGACTGATATACTTTTTTTATTACGGAGATCTCATTAACAGAATCTTACAAAATTTGTGTTCTGGGAAATAATGAGAAGCTGCAGTATTAATACATCGTACAAGTCATTACATTATTTGCAGGAAATAAAACATTAAAAATGCTTCTAGTTTAACAAATTTGTATATGATTATTAAATTACGTTTTTAAAATAAAAAAAAAGAAATTTCATGAGAATATTAATAACGTTATGGTATTCATGTTTAAATTTTACTAAAGAAATTTTACTATAATTTCTTTCTTTCTTTTCTGCTTTTTTTCGCCATGACGTTCGCTCATTTCAGTGGAAAGTAGTTCTGTTATAAAGTGCAGAATTGGAGAGTAGGGTTTTGTCCAGCTGCTGCCGCCCTGAAGATGCACTTTGAGAAAGTTTTTTTTCTGCAAGAGCAGAAAGTGCTTGGTAAATGTGCGTGCTCGAAATTCTCTCAAGAGCTAGGACATCTTGTAGTCTCTGCCATGGATTTGATTTAAAGTGTAGAATTTATACTCTTCGTAAAATAAAGCTTTCTGTGGAAACCAGGTCCAGGTTGGCTGGGTGAAACAGGGTTGGTGTTAACAACTGAGCCGCGTTTTGTTTTGTGTTTAAAAGCATTTATTTTAAATTAATTATAAACACTTAAATTCCCTTAATTAAAAACCAATGAAATTATATTTGTATCAACTGAAAATAAGGCAAATTTTTTAGCAATAAATAAATAAATAAATGAAGAGGAAATCATTTGATCATGTTGAAGTAAATTTATCAAAATCAGTTTTTACATATGACCAACTGTATTTAACAATGTGCAGTTCAAAACTGCGTACTAGAGACCATGCTATTTATTGAAACAATAAGTTATACCTTTTTTAGAAACAACTAACCGGAAGTAATACTAAAAGTTTTTTGCTGTTTAAAATATGGGATTGGAGGGAAATGATGCATGAGCAACACCAGACATTTGATGCTCTGTTTAACATTTTTAAGTTACAAGATGTTTAAGGCTTCATAACGTTTCTAAGATTTGTACGTTGAACCGGTTATGATGATTTGGATCTTTTCTTGAACTTCTTTCCGTATTCCTCACCAGAACGCAAATTAATGTTTAGAGTATAGTATATGCTGTTAGGCTTTTGGATCTTAGTCAGAGAGAGAGAAAGGGTTTCTGGCATTTGTGCTGAGTTGTTAGATTCTGCTAGTTCTATCTAAATGTAATTATGCCGGATTTGCATTCTCTCTTAGACAGTACTTATGCGTCAGTAAATTATTTGAGCAAGCTTGTAGCTTAGTATTTAATAGTATAGTCTTAAATTATTTTATAAAAGTTTTAAATTTAAGTATCTGACATTATTTAATTTATATAGCTACAAAAAGGAATCTAACTGTAGCACAAGTCATGCCTTTATCTTAAAAGTTCAGTTTAATAAAAAGGTTGTTCAAATTTTTGCGAATCTTTGTCGTACTGATTCGATTTGTCGCATAGCGATTATTCGGTATTTGTCTGGTAAGGATGTAGGACTAAAGTTCAATATTATGCCAAATACAATAAGTGGCTCTCGAACTAATTACGAACCATGGCGCAAGACAGCGTTGCTTTTAGCTTATGTCTCCCCAAGATTTTAAGTTTTTATCAAGCCAGAAAGTCCGATGAAAGGCTTCGGTTCATCTTAGACACCATGCGATCATCAATGAAACCGGCCGTCTCTTTCGACGTTAGGAGTTCGGTAACGACCTTCCTGGAACAATTCGAAACACATATTTTACTATATCTGTTGGATAGTTACAAAGGGTCACCCTATCAACCGCTGCACAAGGATAGGGTACCTAAATCAAGTTCATCGATAGCGTTTGTGATATGCTGTTTCAGCTCCGTTATATCAACAGGACGGGGAAGGATGAATACCTTGTCCTTTAGGTACCCCTTCAGGAAGAAATTGCAAGTAATTCAGGTCTTCTGGGTCACCATTGGGTATGGGGCATGTTGTAGTCTGTGGCTCGTCCAATGTATCGGTGTGTGAAATGTTCATCGAGGTAATGCAGAATTGGAGTTCCCAATGACGTGACATGTTGCTTTATTGGTGAAAACTAAACGATCGGCAAAATCGTCATTTTCAAAATGAAGTTGCGTATCGGCACAAAATTCAAAGCGCATTTGTTTGCCAAAATCACTCAGACTTTGCAACACCTGCAAAGTGCAGGTGTTATTGCAGGTGTTGCAAAGTCATAGAGTAAAATATAGAATATAATAGAGTCATTATATATATATATATATAATGAATAGAATATAATAGAATTTTCTGGTTTAGAATCATTTTCTGGTTCATTCTCAAAAACTCTCCAGACAACATTTTGGGCTGCCCTGCGCGCGAGACTTAACCGCATATGCAGGTTCCCGTCCCCTAAGAACGAGGCGCGGAGGTTAAACTTCCGCCCTCGCACCTTGGAGAACAGAACGCACCACCTGGGATCACCAGACGGCACTGGTCATCGATTTGCTACCTACCAGTCGCTCGGGCTATCAGTCGCAGCGGGACATTACCCAGCTTACCCGGGGACGCTACTCCCCGGGCTACTAGAAAATTCTCCGAACAGTGTGCTGAGAAATCTGAACTTCACGACTAACCTTCCGCGTTGATTTTCCCGGGCTTCGTTGAATGGCGGTGCAAACTCTATCGGCGACTTCTTGGAATACAGACGTACAGTTGGTGGTCCAGGACTTTTGCACAAACAGCCCGTAGTTTTAAAATTTTCATGCCACTGATAAACATATTTTCTAGTTGAAGGCTCTTTTCCGAATTGTGATCGAAAATTCATTTGTACAGCAGTTGCGGATTCCGTTTTGCTAAATTCTAGAACACAAAAAGCCTTCTCCACTGCAGACTGCTATTTTGACTGACTAGTCACATGGCATGCCCGTTATTGCTTATGTCACTTCCATCAGGGTCTAGACACAAACGTTAAGGGTATGTCTACCATGTGGTTTTCTGAGGTGATGCGCGTCTTTGACTGTCACTGTTTTACAGCATCTGGAAAAGTGTATACTTCTTTATGAATCACACTGTATTATGTTGACCATCTAACTTTCATGTTTGGAATTGCTAGTTGTATCCAGCTATTTGTGGGAGAATATTTTGAATGTATTTGTCAAAGGATTTCCATCGCCGTCCTGGTTCGTAATTTTCTTTTTTCTATAGTGATTAGTAGAGAATAAAACTAGCTTCTTTTAAAGGATTTGCTTTTGATTTCTGTATATATTTAAACACACTGCCTTTAAACATAGAGACAGAGGCAGAGGCTACCTATGTACGAATCATCCATCACAGACAAGAAGCCACATATGCAAGAATTACGTTCAGAACAACAGACTATGAACTCCCTGGCAGTGTGCAACACATCCACCCTGCCATCAAAGGTAGCGCGATCCATGTCAAAATCCAACATCAGCAATCGCACTCCAGACAACACACTTCCTCTGCGATTACACAACTGTTCACTGATGGATCAAAACATGATCAGGGAGTGGGCTGCGCATTTGCTCACTACGAACATGGCACACTAGTAAAGGAATGGAAAGGACATCTCACTAACAGCAATAGTATCTTCCAAGCAGAAGCACTAGCAATATTGAATGCGCTACGACATGCCCTCAACCTTTCCCTTACCAATGCGACTTTCTTCACGGACAGCATGTCAGTGCTACACGCACTCAGGGATCATCACCACCCATCATCATAGATATACAGAAACTTTTACGCAATAATCATCAAGCCAGCTTTAACATGGTATGGGTGAAAGGACACTCCGACAACGAAGGGAATGACGTCGCAGACCAACTAGCTAATGAGGCTGCCTACAACATCCACGCTCAAACTATAAGAGCCCCTACCCCCGTCTCACACCTCAAGAAAACTCTGCGTAATATCTGTAAAGAAAAGTGGCAAGAAGAATGGAATAGTGGCGACACATGGAGAAGGACGTATAACTTCCTACCAAAGGTAGACACGGAACGTCTTATAACAATAGCCCGACTGACAGAGTACATAACGGGTCATGGCCCATTTCCATCTAATTTTATGCGTCATGGCATCT